TTAATGTAAATTTCCACTTAAACAGCTCCGTGTGGCTAGTGGCTTCTTTCTAGAGCTTTGCACGAGGCAGTGGTTGTGACCTAATGGAGGGGAGAAGATGATGCAAGCTTCCCTGCAGGTAAATTATGATAAGCTGGGTCTCAGGGAGGGAACTGACCCCAGGTGGGTTCTGACAGTATTGTGCTGGACGCAGTGAGGAGAGGCCTTTGAAGAGTCTTATTGAGACATGACAACCGTACATGAAATAATTAGAGAAGGGGGCAGCTGGTGTGTGACAAAGTGCTGCCCGGCACGGCATCCGCTCGGGAGCACCCTGCCGTGCCCCTTGGCATCGGAGACAGGTCTCCATGTCGCTGCATTGCACAGCTACGTGTGCCCCAAGGAACAAGAATCCTGCCTGTACCTCTCTGCTGTCAGGAAAGGTGCCAGGAGCAGGGTGGATAAATCAGAACATCATTTCTAGATACATTCATAAGCTCCTGTGACAGAAAGCCTGCTTTAAAGGGCTTGCATAGGTGGGCCTTTATTCTGTATTACCTGTAGAGCTTTCCTGGAAAAGCTCTATTGTAATGCAACCTGTGTTTTCCCCCTGGAGCGCTGGGCAGCTGTGTTTCCTGACCAGGAGCTCAACATCGAACAGAACATAACTGGGACAGAATAATGCCATGAAAGCAGGGAAACCAAAGCCATAAATCTTACTAACTACTAAGAGTGATAAAATTCTCCTACACATCCTATAACATGAATATAAATGCGCAGTATTGGTGCACACGGACTAGGGGAAGAGCAACAATCTTCCATTAACATATAAAAATTCAATTCCACTGTGTCATAAATTAGATTTTTTCTCATACTGAACTATTAAGTGTGATAAACGCAAATTGAACACTTGAATAACAATTGCTTTGCCCAACCCTGAAATTTGAAGTGCATTTGAGGATGCTTGCTTCTCTTAATAAGTTCCTTCTTCTTAATAAATTCCTTCCAGCAGAAGCATACCTAATTATCCCATTATCCATTCCATCCATCTGGATGTCAAGTCCATAGCATCAGTAGACCAATGAGGTGGGAGTCTGAGAATAACACACGGTGAATAGAATCAACACCTGAGTCGGAGGCACAGACCAATACAGACTGGAAAGTGTTAGCTGGAGAAATATTCAGCAACTAAGACCTACAAATGGATATTTTAATTTCCTCCCATTCCTTATTCTTTATTTTCTCACTCTAGTCCGTAAATTCTGATTGAAATATTAATATGTCTCATGTTACTCTTTTTGTTGATTTATTATTTTAGAAAAGTGATATGTGTTTATTATAGAAAATTCGGATATGAAGAAAATAAAAACAGCCACAATTCTACCACTTAGAGACCGCTGTGAACATTTGGCCATATCTGTTTTCAGTTACTTTTGTTTTCTTACTTGTTTTCACGCAATACTGAAACACAGTTTTGCTCTTTTTCAGTCAATATTTCCTCCGTGTTTCCTCATATCTTAAAATGTATTTCCAGAACATCATTGCAACGTCTGCAGGATATAGAGGTCACCTAAATGTATTTAACTAGGCCTCTATTATAGGCAATTTAGGCAATATATAGGCAATTTATTACAGGCCATCTTCCTGCCTTCCTTTTTATTTCAAATAGCATTATGATGAAAACCCCCGTCTATAGAATCTTTGTCCACATGCATTACTATTTTCTTGGGTATGGAATTTCCCTGCCAAAGGGAGGAACTTTCTTAGGGCTGTTTATAAGTATTGCCCAATTGTCCCCTAGAAAGATCTTCTAATGCAGTCGTCGTTATTACTATGGGTGTTGAGATGAGAAGGCCCTGAAGTACAGTCCTGGTTTTGCAGATCCAGATCTGTCATCAGCCGTGTGACCTTGAGCAAGCCAACACCTCCAAGCTGCAGTCTCCCCAGATGTTAAGTGGGCCAGTAATAAGATCTGCCTCATGTCCCATTGCCGTGTGGACTAGATGAGACAGTCCGCATAAGAGCTGACGACGGCAAAATGCCCGATGTGAGAGCTAACAATTACATACTCTGCCCACCGAGTAGGGACCATCTATTTCTCCATTCTTTCACAAACCCTGGGTACAATTTTGTGTATAAAACTCATCAGCTTGACAAGTGAAAAAAAGACATCTTGTAGTTTTAACTTCCGTGACAAAACACATCTCTCAAGCCTTTAAATATATGTGAAATATTTCAAGCAATGGGTGGCTTTGACACATGCTTTTTCCTCAAATGTTGTTCCTCATGAGTGCCAAGTAATAGAATAAGCTCGAGTCGTCCTTAGTTTTAAAGGGCAGATACATTGTTCACTGCATCTGCGTAGTGAGTGGCATATTGTGGAGGTGGAATACTTATATGCAGTGATTAGTAAATGTGTGCTTCAACATTAAATGCGTGCCTACCTCATTTTCTCCCAACAGTCTCGATGAATTGGATGTAGCTGCCCGCAATTTATTTTAAATTGTATAAATAGCTTCCTAAGACAACCGGTAGAAATAAAAAAGAAGGAAAACATTCACTTCCCTCACCCAAATTAAATTTTGTTTACTGTCCATACAATTTTACAGAATCACGTTAGATGCTTTTTCAAATCGGGGGACACGTTTCCTCGTGTGGAGACCACCTCCTTCCCACACAAGGACCGTCATTCCACCAGGCCCCCTCGGTGCCCGCTCTATCCCTGTCACATCAGTGGGAGCCATGCCAGAGAAAGGGACCCGCACCCTATGGGCCAGGGAAGAGGGTGGATGACAGAAGTCCTGGGAGTGAAGCAGAGGTGGGCTGAGAGGTCAGCACCAGCAGCCCAAATATGGCCGTAATGTGAAGTCTGCGCCGGAATGTGACGGGTGTGGGTTGGTCTGAAATAAAAATCAAAACAACAAAGGCAATCGCAATCATGGCGTTCAGGAGGGTTCATAGTCAGACATTTAGAGGCCATCGTCATTTTAAGAACAGGCTTTCGTTTGCCTTTGTCAGAAGCCTGGAGGCTCTGCACAAATTTAAAGGCACAGCGCGGTGTCGGGTACCAGAAAGGGTTTTCTAGTGAGCAGGATTCCATGGGATTTCTGTAATGCACGTGGGAGGAGGTATGAAGATACGCAGTCTTGATTATTCCGGAGAAGACAGAGATCTGTTTTCCTGTCCTGTATCAGTCATCAAATAATTTTCTGTCTTAAGTCATCAGTCACCAAATAATCTCTCACTTGATGACATGGAGAAGGCTCCTTAGGTTTCAGTTCTGTTCCTCTTTTGTCCCTGTTAGTTCATATTTCCAAGGCTGTGTCCTCGAGAGTTGGGCTGTAATACCTTTGCAGGGAGATGGTGAGTCTATTGATTCTTTAATATGGTTTCTGCCATTTAATTCTTGTTGGGAGCAGGCAGCGCTCCAGCCCTTACACACAGCTAGCTGGCCGCTCTCTGTAATCAGATGTGTACACACATCTCATGCCAAGAGAAAATGCTGGCATATTCACAGTGGATTATCATATTCTGGTCACTTTTCAAGATCATCCGTGCTGTTTGTAATCTTGAGTATTATCATTAATTGTTTTTGCTTTCAGCCTTGAATTTGGTTCTGCAAGGAAGAAGTTTTGCTGGCAAGGGTTATGAAAAAAATAAGGGCAGCTTCACATTCTTAATCTTGAGGGCTTCTTGCATTACTGTTAAGTCAGAATTGTTAGGGAGTAAACTTGCTGGAAGGTGAAGATGAAGGTGGTCCTGTGGAATAGCAGGAAGAGCAGTAGTCTCAGGGGATGTGATTTAGTCCACCCTTTTGCCTCTTTTTAACGTGACTTTGGGCCCATGTATTCATTTGTAAAATGACCTGTTTATTTACAAAATAGGGACTGTGCTTTGTCCTGTGTAGCACTCAGTGACAGACAGCATGTGGAAGCATATTGTAAACGATAATACTGCACACCAATGTAAGGTCATCACTGTGTCTTTGCGGTCCACATGCTTGAAAATTTGTTGGTTTATGTTGAAGCCTATTTCAGTTCTCTTCATGTCCTGGCCCATCATTTCCACATTTGAACTTAAGCTAGGGGCGCTTGGGTGGCTCAGTCAGTTGGGCATCTGACTTCAACTCAGGTCTGTGAGTTCGAGCCCCACATCGGGCTCTGTGCTGACAGCTCAGATCCTGGAACCTGCTTCTAATTCTGTGTCTCCCTCTCTCTCTGCCCCTCCCCCACTCATGCTCTATCTCTGTCTCTCTCAAAAATAAATAAACATTAAAAAAAATTAAACTTAAGCTATGAAGACCTTGGCTCAACCTTCTTTATCTTTCGGTCTAACTCGAGGCCTGGAAGTTTTGCTTTATTTGGGATTTGTCACCCCACATTCTAAAGAATGAGCATCAGTGTTTCTCAAGAGACTAAGATTCTAAGATATCGCCAAAGCGAATCTTAATTGTATGTCTTCAGAAAGCCCTGGGATTTTATACTTTTATCATACTGGGCGCTATTTTGGTTATATTGTAGTAGAAACTATTATTCTTGTATTAGAGCTATTCATAAAATGGCAGCACTTTGGATGGTGACTGTAGTCTAAGAGCTGCCTTTCCAACATGGCAACCGCTAGACATATTGATTATTTGCATCCCAGTCAATTAAGATTAAATCAAATAAAAAATTTGGTTCCTCACACACACTAGATACATCCCAAGTGCTCAACAGCCAGATATGGGTCATGGAGACTACTTTGGACAGTGGAGATTATAGCACATTTCCGTCTTTGCAGAAAGTTCTACTGGACAATCCTCTAGAAGAAAGGGAACCTAATATCACCTTCTTCATAGGTACCCAATAAGGTTTCATGGAGAACTTTTATGCCATTTTTAGATTTCCAACCTAAATTAGCAAACTTTCATGGCCAATCAATGTTTGACATCCCACTTACCTACCCTTTCCTGCAAGTCACGTTTAGGGTGTTTGATAATTTGATATTTTTACATGTTCACTTCTTTCTGTTGGGTTCCTTAGGTCCTGTGTGACAGACATGTGTGAATGTCCAGTCCATAAAAACTGTTACTGCGAGTCATTTCTGGCATATACCCGGGCCTGCCAGAGAGAAGGCATCAGTGTCCACTGGGAGCCTCAGCAGAACTGTGCAGGTGAGAAATTCCTGGTGGACCCATCCATCAGAAGTTCACTACAATCCCCAAAATAGCAATGAAAGAGACTCGCTGATACGAATGGCCACATTCCCCCTTGGCCAAAGGGAAATTCCATCAATAGTCTAACTGGATTGCAACTTGATAAAACACAAGGGCTTCCCACTAGGCAGGATAGAAAGCACTTAAGAGAAATGCTTTGTGACAAGCACATTTGAACAATGTAAGGATTTCCACTGTTGCAAAATCCTCTCAACCTCAAGCTATCAGCTGGATGTACTTAGCACACGGACAATCACAGCTGTGGCTAAGGTTATATGTGGCGCAAAGAATATTCATGATGATTACAGTCATTTAAGGTCTTCAGGATAAGTGTGTGTGTGTGTGTGTGTGTGTGTGTGTGTGTGTGAGAGAGAGAGAGAAAGGGAGAGATTGTTAAACCCTAGCAGAATATTCTTTTGCCTGTAAGAGATAGATTTTTATAATACTTGTTATAGTCCTTTGATCTCAGGCAAGTTAATTAGCTTATTGGATATCTGTAAAATGGACTTCTTTGTTCATTCAAGAAATATTTCTTACAAAGTGTCTACGTGCTGGGCATTGTGCTGAACACAGTGAGTACTCTGGTAGCTTAAGAGACAAAGCCCTTGTCATTGAGGTGCTGGCAGTCCAAAAGGAGAACCAGGTGAAAATAGTAACTCTACAAGAAAATACTGGCTAAGTATGTTAAGTGTGATGTAGGAAACAAATAAGGCAGAGCACAAAAGACAAATGGAGAGGGAATGGGTGGCTATTTAGATGGTGACAAGGGACGGCTTCTCTGTGGTGATGATAGGAGCCTTGAAGGATTGAAGGGAGTTAGGGCAAGAATTCTATGCAGAAGAAACATATTTTATGACCATAAAGCAGGAATAAAATAGCATGCTCTGGAACTGGAAGGGAGTCAGTGTGGCTCAAGCATGGTGGGCAGGGGAAAGAAGCATAAAATGGGGGTGGAGTAGAAGCAGGAGCTGGATCGTGCAGGGCTTTGCAGGTCTTGGGAGGGTGGTAGCCTTTATTCTAAGAGTAGTGGAAGCCATTGATGGACTTTGAGCAAGCCTCATTCTGCTTTCTAAACATCACCCTGTGTCCAGGCTACTGTGTAGAGAATAGATTGGCCGGGGCAAACTGAAAGCAGGTGACCAGGCAGGAGTGTGGTGGTGAACAAACAATGGTGACTTGGATTAAGATGGAGGCAGTGTATGAGGAGAGAAGAAGAGAGATTCCCGATGTATTTTGGAATTTTACAATAATATCTGTGACGCAGAGTGATACGCGTGATATGTGATATGTATGTGAAACATCTGAAAGAGTGTCTACCTCATAGAAGCTACTGCTGCTAATTAGATCTGGAGAGGAGATGGCTGAGTATTTGTCACTTACTTCAAGGGTTGGCAGACATTTTTCCGAAAAGGGCCAGATTTGCCTGGAATGAAGACACAGGGGGGTTGCACTAATTCTACACTAATCCTAATAACCTTAGCTCTGATATTAGAAAAAAGGCAGTTCATGGCACTGCTAACTCTAGAATGTCTATATTGGTGGAGGTCACCTGGTTGGAAGAGAGGTCAAGAAGGATTGCCTTGAGGCTGTGTTTTCATTGAGTGGCCATCTTGTTTACTTAGACCAGTGAGTCTCAGTCTGGCTGGGCATTGGAGTCACCAGGGAGTTTACAAGATAAACAAGAAACCTATGCCCAGATATCCTGTTTTAATTGGCCTTATATAGCTTTTAAAAGTTCTCAGGTGATTCTGACTTGTAGCCAGAGTTGAAACCACTGAGTTAATTTTTATGCCTACTTGGGTGGCTTTGAGGGAGTAGGATGACAGGTATTTGGGGGTTACTAAAACTTCTCCAAGCTGCCCCTTGACAAAATCACTTGTCTGTGTCCATGAAAAGCACTAAGCCCTTTTACCTACTTCTAACTTCCGTTTTGGAATTTGCTCTCTTCTCTGCAAACCCAAGTCCAGTCTTTGTATCTGAGTTCACTTTCTATGGCAAGAATGTCTATCAATGTTGCCCTTCTGAAAGGAGTATTGATTTGATAAAAATAACTCACGGTGATACTGGTGAACTGGGTCCAAGGATGCAGAGGGGGGTCCTGCAGGGCCAGGCAAGAAGGTCCTTGGCTTCACACAGGATGGAAAGCAAACTCAAGCCAGCAGAAAGTGAGAGCAGAGTTTATTGAAGATACAGAGACAGCAGATACAGACAGAGCATCCGGGAGACTCACAAAGGAAGTAGAAGATGAATCTCATCTTTGCTAGGGGTCTGGAGTTTTTACTGATGATTGTGGTCTGCTGCACATGTCCTCTTGGGCATACGGGAACTGGTCAGAACAAGGACAGTGTCCTGATGTCCATCATAAGTCATGTATCCCCTGAAGCCAGGGGACCTTGGTGTCCTCAAGATGTCTAGTGCCAGTGATCTGGAATATGAACATGATGGCTTCACCCTATCATTCCTTAGGTATTATCTATTGTGTTGAAAGATTCCAAAGAAATCATTAACTCCTCATCCCTTACAAGGAGGACATAAAGTAAGGCATGTGTAGGGCAGGGGTGCAGGTCGTAGCAAGAATAGAAGAAGGAAAGGGAGCAAAAAGTAGATTTTTATGGAGTCCTTCAGGTTCCCTATCTCAATAACATGGTGTGGTTGAGGCTCCTAAAAAGTAAGACGGAATAGCTTACCTCTCGCCTAATGCATCAGTGTGGGGTAGCATAGTAAAAGTGACGTTTTTGTGGGACCAGGTCCTTTTAGTACGCCTTGAATATTCCTAGCTCCCTTTCTCTCCTTTGAGTCCTCCTTCCCTTGAATCTATCAGAAAAAGACTAAGCTATACGGAGCCACGTCCCATCCATCCATCCTGCTATAATTTAGGGCTCTGCAGAAACTTACAAACTTCATTAGCTGTGGTAGTGCTGTGGTAAGGCTTATATTAGATACAGAATATAGGAGTCCTCTCTTCCCAGCCCACAGCTATACTTAGCACCGTCTGAGTGCACCATTTGAGGACTACGCATTCCCCTTGATTTCAGGGGACCAAATCTCAGGAGCTAAAATTACTTTTCTAATGGACGCGGAATATGGCTCTCGAAAGATTTCATTTACCACTTAAAATTAATGGAGGCATCTGAGTGAAGTATAACTCTGTGCAGTTGCAGGGGAACCTTTACACACACACACACACACACACAATGCACTTGCACAGGTTGACAGTTGGCACATGAAAAATAAATTTACGGAGACATGCAGCATCTTTCAGTGGATTCATTTCCAATTGATCTGGAATATTGAAGACTATAAGAGTACCCTTTACTTATTTTTAGCTCCCAGATCTTTTCGACTTATGACAGCACATAAGGGCACTTAATACAGAGAAGAGAAATTTTGCAGAGTAAAAAGCTTGGAGGTCGAACAAATAAGAAGCCAGCCAGGCAAGAAACTCTGAATGAGCAAGTGACATTTCCAAACGTAGCCTATTTTAGCACTATCATGACTACTAGCACAAAGCGTATGCCCACTGCGTGTGGCAAAAAGGACTGATGGAGCTCAAGCTTAGCATGTGAATTACTGAATATAATGTACTATGCAAAGGACCATCATAAAGGTCTAGAATAAAAGTTTAATAATGACCGTTTATATTAACAGTCACCATTTTCTAAGCACTTCCTTTGCCCCAAGGACTACACTAGCACTTTTATGACATTTTATGTTGTTAATTCTGCATTATAATCTATATGGTAGCATTCTATTACCCACACTTTACGGATAAGGACATTGAGGCTTGGAATATTTAAGTGATTTGCTGCAAGCCACAGAGCTAGAAAATGAGTAGGTTGGGAATGAAACCCAGGTAAATTTGCCTCACAGCCTCTGTAGTTAATCATTATGAAAACAGACCAGCAAGAGCACTGTGGAAAAATATAGTCAAATATGAGTATATATTTATATGCGTATTTACATAAGCATCAACTAATTTATTCAAATATTTGTTATGTAGGTCTTTCTGATTTCTATTCATTTGTGCCTTATCACTGATAGTTGTCAGTTGGTAGTCTCTGACCGTAACTTTGTTATGCTCTTGCCCTCGCATCTTACTTGGCCATTCTCGGTAGATTTCCTGACACCTCCCTGTAGCCCACACTAATTGTCAGTGCACTTTCAGTAATGCATTTTATAAGTGGAAAAGCATCTGGGATACTCAAAGTGGCGTGTGTCTTTCTATAGCACATCAGATAGCCTGCTGGGTTCTATGAGCAGGTTTTCCTCTGTTTGTCTCTATAAATTCCAGGTGCTTCTAGCCCTTTGCTGTAGCAACGGCTTTAATTATACACAGTGAGCTTCTCCTTGGCCAACTGGGTGCCTCCTGTAAAGGATTAGGAGATAAAGTCAGTACGGGGATCTTCAACACTCAGTAGGGGATATGGAGGCAGCGGGGTTCCAGAGGGCACAGAGCCGTGCTTATTGAATTTATTGATAAAGCTAACACCCAGCGCTTTTCTGAGTTACCACGTGAAGTAACACATAATGCTGCTTGGACACATTACACAGTGTCTGCTTGTGTGTCCCCTAGAGAACAAATGCATGCCAACCCTAATCACTTTGGTAGTTGGCTGGTTTTTCTGTTTTAAATTATTTAACCAGTTGAATCCTTCTTTAAATGCATATGTTCAAATTGGTCACAGTTAGGTTTTATTTTTATCTTTTTATTTGTTTAAGTTTATTTATTTGTTTTTAGAAAGAGAGGGAGGGGGCAGAAAGAGAAGGAGAGAGAGAATCCCAAGCAGACCACACTCTTAGTACTCCTGACATGGGGCTCAAACCCACCAACCGTGAAAGCATGACCTGAGCTGAAATCCAGAGCCAGATGCTTAATCGGTTGAAAATAATATATCTTTTGTCTTTTATATATATGGAAAAAAAAACATTGAATTCACAGAAGAGTCAAACAGGGTCGG